AGGGGGTTAAAAACTTGACTCTCGTAAGAGGCCTAGTTTTGAAAAGGAGCTTCCCTTCTTGGCCACAATAGCAGGTTTCATTTGAAGATGCTTACAAAAAGTTAAAGTCTAGAGTGTTTGGTGATAAATTAAATCAAAGGATATGCAGGCTGGATGCCCCAGTGCATTTGGGAGGCAAGCTGCTGGCAGTGGGATCTGCATGATGCCCGAGAAGCCTCCACGGGGGATAAAAGGATCAGAATTTACAATCTAGTAGGGGTGTAAGATAAGCACAGAGATAACTATGATATAAATCAGGATGTGTTCCACTGGGGCTGTAAGAAAGACTCAAAGAACAGGATGGGAATTAGAAAATGGGCCTATCATGCTTTATGTATTGAATCAGAAGTTTCAAGAAGCCAGTGGCTTTGGAATGAGTAACATCAAATTATAACCAACATTCATTGTGTCCTCCTTATGTACTCATTGAACTAAATCCTTTCCATGCATCATCTCATTTAACAGACCTTGACTGACAGGTAGGGTGGTGGCAGGTGGTTATGTCTGGCGACAGCATCGCTCAATGGAAAGAGCAAGGACAAGAGCCAGCGGCCTCTGTGCAAGGCTTCTCAACTAAAGCTTCTGTCCACCTTTCTTTGCTCTTTTCTTGATTCCTTACATATAAATGTACATTTTTGGTTTGCATTAGCTTCTACTGATTAGGCTAACATGTGCCCAAAGCATAAGAAATCATGACTTCAATGTTAATTTCAATATCCTGATCATATGATCCGGTGGCTACAATGTCAGCTCTGGAGCATCCAGGTGGAAGGGGCTGGGAGCAGTTGGAGACTTGTCTAGATAAGACATTTGCCTAGCAAACAAATGCCTTAGTTAGGTTATTTGCATTTGCCTGGCTTGGATCCTTGACCAGAAAAAGACATTAGCGGAACAATGGGTGATATTTAAATAAGGTTTGTTAATTAATGATATTGTATTAATGTTAACATCCTGATTTTGATAATTGAATTGTGGATATGTAAGCTTTTAGTATTTGAGGAAGCTGAGTGAGGAAAATAGGGCAATTCATTATACTATTCTTACAAATGTTTGCAAGTCTAAAATAATTTCATAGTAAAGAGTTAAAAAGAAGAATAAATAAAAATAAGTAAAATAATGCGTGTGGATTTGGAGTGATCGGGGTGGACCTGGGTGAAGGGAATTGGGACAAAGCCCTAACCCCTTCCCTTGGTTATGTCCCTGTTGGGATGCTTGTTGAAAGCAGAGTCCTGGCCCCAGAAGGTTCCAGAAAGTGGCCTGAGAATCTGAATTCGGACAGGCTCTTCCAAAGGATCCTTAAGAAGAGGTGAGTTTGGGAAACAGCATGATCTCATTTGTTCCTCCAATTCCCCTGCCAAGTGAGAAACATCATCCCCGATGTTCAGAGGAGGAAACTGAGCCCGAGGGAGGGTAAGTTGCCTGAAGTTGCAGGTCTGGAAAGTGGTGAAGCTGGGGTTTGCTATGTTTTTCCTTTGAAAAACTCCCTAGTAAAACATTTCTTAGGACCCGCCACTAAACTTGTGTGATATTTATGTGCTTATCTGTTCCAGAAACTCCTGGCAGGCACTTCCTCGTTTACCAACCCTCCATCCTGCCTACCTTGCCAGCATCCAGCAGGATGCCTGACACATAGTAGGGAATGCTCTTTATATCTGGATTGGGCTCTAATAACCATCAGAGCTTTTATCTCATTGGCCGTCTATAGTAGGGAATGCTCTTTATATCTGGATTGGGCTCTAATAACCATCAGAGCTTTTATCTCATTGGCCGTCTTGTATATGGGTCCCATCTAGAGGACACATATTCAATAACTATTCTTGCTTGGAAAAATTCTTGGCTTTCTAGCCTTTCCATTTCAAGAAATGTTTCTGTTGGTTTTAATTTAATTTGAGGCACATAATACACATACACAAGTGGAATTAAATAATCTAATTTCAAATATTAATTATAATTTCAGGAAAATAACTTTGATTAAGTGATTTAAAAGGCAGGGACAGGCTTCTCTGTAAAATTATTTCCAATCCCAGAGCCATTTCTGGGCTTTTTCTCTCTCCCAGTGTAGAGAATCTTGTAGATTGCTGGGAGGCAGTAAGGTAGTGTATTCTATACATTGTGAAGATGTTTAATACTGTGGTGACCAAGCAGAATCTAATATTCTTGGCCCTTGCACTCCCAAGCACTACTATTTTGCTTCTCCTACTCTTAATAACAGGATTAGGAAAGGAAAGGCAAACCGTGTGAGACTCATTTGAAGGAAGTAATGAGATTCAGGACACATTATCCCAAACTATAGCACCTCGGTATTGCAGAAAACAGCAGAAGCAGGAGGATCACTGTATTAGTCTGTTCTCACACTGCTAATAAAGACATACCCAAGACCAGGTAATTTATAAAGAAAAAGAGGTTTAATGGACTCACAGTTACACATGGCTGGGGAGGCCGCACAATCATGGCAGAAGGTGAAAGGAGCAAAGTCACGTCTTACATGATGGCAGGCAAGAGAGCGTGTGCAGGGGAACTGCCCTTTATAAAACCATCAGATCTCATGAGACTCATTTGCTATCACGTGAACACAGGAAAAACCAACCGCCATGATTCAATTACCTCCCACTGGGTCCCTCCCACGACATGTGGGGATTGTGGAAACTACAATTCAAGATGAAATTTTGGTGAGGTCACAGCCAAACCATATCAGTCACTCTCCCCTTCCCCTCATTTTTCTCCCACGAAGCAGGTCATAAACCCTGATGTTCTCCTGCCCTGCTATAGGTCGTAAGATCCTCATTCCAGAGGGGCCTCCTTCAGGGATCCCCTTCAGGGATCCCCTTCAGGGATCTCTGAAGACACAGGACACAGAAGAATCTGAACAAACAGGCCATGCTAAGCCCTCTCCCTTGCCCCAGTTTATTACCAGTAGATGGAATCCTCTTTTTCCACTTATATTTCTCCATGACTTTCTTCTTTTCATCAAACTTAACATAAAAATACACAGGTTTTTCCATTTGTGTGAGCCTTCAGTCACTGATGAAGGCTCCTGTGTCATGTAAAACTTATATTAAATCCATTTACAGGAGCAAGAAGAGAAAGAATTCATTTCATCACTTAAAATTGTGTTTTATAATGAACTACAATTTATTTTTCTGCCAGTGAGCACCAAGTTATCTGTTCTATATTTTGGAATAGGTTCACAGGCATTATTATTACTGTTATTATTGAGACAGAGTCTTGCTCTGCTCCCCAGGCTGGAGTACAGTGGCAGAATCCCAACTCACTGCAACCTCCACCTCCCTGGTTCAAGCAATTCTCGTACATAGGCATTATTTTTAAGTCTTATATTCCAAGAAGATTAAAATGATAAAAACATGGGATTCAGAGACCAGAAGACCTGGGTTTACGTCTAAGCTCCATCAGTTACTGACCATGGGACTGGGATAAGTCACATAATTCCTTTCATCTCAGTTTCCTCACTGGTACTACAGGGGCTCCAGTCGTCACCCTTAACCTCACTGTTATGGCCAGGTTTAATCAAATGACGTGAGTTAAAAGGACCTGGCACTGGGGATGTGGATATAATGAGAGTCACCCACTGCTAAGTGGTACAACCTGCAGTAAAGCTACCCTCCACATTCCACAGCCCAACTCCTTCTCAGCATCTAAACTCCAAGCACCCAACATTATGCTCTTTTTGTTCCCTGGCTAACTCTGGATGCCCCAGTTCCTTCTGTTCTCAGTAGTCCAGGAGACCCTTCCTAGTGTAGGGTAGGAAACATTTCTTTCCTCACTCATCACTAGGTTTGTGGCTGAGGCCCCTATTAAAAAATAGAAACAGATTAACAAGAGAAAAATCGCACAAATGCTTTAATAAGTCTTACATGTCATAGGAGCCTTCAGAAATGAAGATCAAAGAAACAGCAAAACCTGGGTATTTTTATGCTTAGATTTGATGGAGAGTGGACAAGTTGTGGAGAAATATAATTGGACAAAAGGAGTATGGTCTAACAGTAATAAACTGGGGAGAACTTAGAAAGGTCTGTTGGTTCAGATTTTTCTCTGCGTCCCTGTGACTTCAGAGGGAAGGATGTTCCTGTCGTCCAGGTATAGGGAGGGCACCTCTCACATGAGGGTCTTGTGATCTATTTCAGAGGAAGGTTAGAGAATCCTTTTATGGCACGCTTTAGGGAAGAAAGGCAGGAAGAGGTCAGAGGGACCTCCCTGCTTCTGCTGTTCGCTCTGATTTCAAGGTGCCATGTCTTGGGGGGTTGTGTCTGGAATGCCATCCCTAGTCCTGAGTTCACTCACCCTTAGAGTTAAACCATGAGTCCTATGCTAAAGTGTTCATGGTGAATGATAACTCTTAGGGTCATACCTCTCTGGTTATGACGTGACTTATCCAGAGTCATGCAAGAACATGGTAGGAAGGCAGGGGTAGAGCGCTGGACTCTGCATTTTTCAGGCCAGGCTGGGTAGTTGTATCCTCTTTTCCATTCTATCTAGGATGTTATCCTGTAGTGCTTGTGTGTGATTTTGGGCAGTTGAACTCCTTGATCCTATTTACAACTTTGAATATGCTTTGGGTTTCAGTTTTAGCTCAGAGACTTCTGGGATTGAAAGTAAGCTACATTTGGGGGCTTTAGTTTATGATTTTTCTTTTTCTTCTCCTGTTCCACTACAATGCTTTGAAAGGGAGACCATGTCAGCAGTAGCCTGAACTTCATATCTTTACATTTATTTTGCTCTTAACTATGCTTTGAGGAATTGGAGAAAATGCCAGTTCCTGCACTGCAATGCAACATATTGTGATAGATGCTTCTTCTGAGATCCCATATGCTTCATATTGCCATGGAAAAAGTACTGGCATAGCAAGATTTTTTTTTTTTTTTCTTCTATAAATGTCCCCAGAGACTGAATTGGATTTCTGTTGGTTGCTTTTACAGCAACATTGTCTGATGGGGGGTTGGGGGTGGTGGAGAGAGAGAGAGAGAGAGAGAGAGTGAGATAGAAAGAGAGGGAGAGAGAGGGAGGCATGTTGTACATTAACAAACAGAGTAGGTTTTAAAGCACAGTTGCTTTAAGACAGCAGCTTAGGGGCACAGCCTTAGGGTTCTCCTGGTTCTGATTCTGCTAACTAATATATAAATGGACTTACCTTGGAGTATTGGAAAAGCAGTAAACTTAGAAGAAGGAAGGCACAGTTCCTGACATGGCCACTCATCCTCTCTGAATCTCATGCAAGTATATCAGTTAGGTTTTGCTTACGCAATTTAATAATACAAGTGAATTTTTAAAATAATTATTATTTCTCACATTCTGGGATGGTTCTAATGGAGCTGGATTATTCAAGGTAGCCTCACTCATGTGTCTGGCTGTTGGAGTGATGTCACCTGGAGGACTTTGGCTACCCGACTCTCATCACCCAGCCGGTTAGCCCTAGCTTGTTGTCCATGGTGGTGGTCGTGGAATTGCCCAGCCTTTTTATGCCTCAGCTCATGTCACGTTTGCCAATGTCCTCTGTGGCCAAAGCAGGTCACACATCTAAGCTCACATTCAAGGGGCAGAAAAATAAACTGGTCTTGATGGGACGTTTTGAAAAATCATATTGCAAAGAGGCAGCAAACGCAGCCTCCTATCACAAGTAGATTATGCTCTCTGAGCCTGAGTGCCCTCAAATTTAAAATAGGTGAACACTATGTAGCTAATCGTTCAAATTTATCATATCAAATATGACCTCTTGATCCAGTGTGCCACCCCACTTCATCTGCTCTTCTGTCACTCTCTCCTATTTTCCTAAGTGGCACCATTGTTTACCTACTAGCTGAAAGCAGACACTTGGGAGTCTTCCCTGAGCCCTCCTTTTTCCTTATCCTGGTATTCCTCACAGCTAACCCATCAGCAAGAAAGATTCATGGATACTAACTCCAAAAAAGATCTTGTACCTGTCCATTTCTCTTCCTGCTTTTATCCTTTCTCTCTCAGCAAGACCGAGCCTTCCTCTTCTTGGAATTTTCCTGCAGATACTCACATGGGCTCCTTTCGTTCTTGGCTCAAGGTCACATTCTGAGTGGGGTGCTCCCTGGCCGGTAAATGTTCACTGTCAACCCCATACAATCTGACATTTCATACCTGCTTTTCTTGTTTATTTTTTCTCCTTTCTATTTAACACCAAGTCACCTATTCTTTAACTGTCCCCTCCACCAGAACTTCAACTCGATGAGGACAGGAGACTATTGGTTTTTTGGCTCACTAGTGAATCTCCAGTGCCCATTGCAGTACCTAGCACATAATCAGCAATATCAATTTCTTGAATCACAAAAGAGTATTTTAGGGAGATACTTCCCTCGTTGTCTGAATCACAGAATGGCCTGCTTTCATGTGCAAAGGCTCTTAGGCACCTAACTCAGTTCTAAAAGGTCAGAGACATTTGCTGGAGAAATGGCATCTGAAACCTGAAGGCTGAATAGTCATAAAGAAGGGAACAGGTGAGAAGACACAGCAGGATACCGAAGTAGACACATAGGTGGCCCACTGGGTATAGGAAGACCCCGATGTATATTTATTTTTCTAAGAATGAAATAAGCTTTGCTCGTTTTTAATATACTCATTAGTACTAGAGTCCTCAGTAGGTACCTGTGTGAGACAGGTAGAGGTCTCTCACTGTCACTAATACTTGGAGAGGTGTCCCCATGGGGAGATACAGGGGTCCACAACAAAAGAGCTTGACAAGACCCTCACTTATTTGTTGTTTTTGCCACATTCTGACTCACTGGGAGTTTCCTGTACTCAGTTGTATTAATATTATAGTCATTTTGATTGCTTTTAACTATATAAACTTCACAAAATGAACAAGCCCCTTGGAAAAATTCCTGTAAAGGAACTAACTTATACTGAAGACAATACTATAAAAGCAAGCACACACACACACAAAAAAACCCAAGGAGGCAGAGGCAGCATTTCAACTCCTCCTCGAAACAGTGGCAATCTATTCCCATCAGGCAAGAAGCGAGGGTGGTGGAGATAAAATTGCAACCACCAAGACTATTTGAAAAATAAATTTTCATCAATTATTGTTAGCGATTTCAAATCGATTATTCTTAAGCTATTAGCAACACAATGACATAAAACATTATGTTGGAGAAAATGATACAGTTCATTGAAAATTTTATCTTATTTTGGCTTCTTTTTAATTGAGGTATCATTTACAGACAATAAATTATACAGATTTTAAATGTCTGGTTCAATCAACCACTTTTAAACTTCTATCACCATAGATTCCTTTTGTCATTTTTGTGTATTTTTTATAAATGTAAATATACAGTGTATCGTGTGTGTGTGTGTGTGTGTACTTAGCTTTTTTTTTTTTTTGCTTGACATAATGTGCGTAAAATTTATCTGTGTTGTTTCTATCAGTAGTGTGTTCCTTTTTATTGTGAACTCATGTGCCGCTGTAGAAATTTACCACAAAATTTACATTCATTCTTTTATTGATGAATATTTGGGTTGTTTCAAGTTTTTGGCAATTAGAAATAAGGCGGCTATGGACATTTTTTTCCTATAAGTTTTGGTGGACAGTGACTTTATTTCTCTTGTATAAACACCAGGGAGTGGAATTGCTAAATCAATAAGTAAGTGAATTTGTAACTTTATAAGTCATCACTTTTAACATCGACACCAGGAATGTTTGAGTGTTTTAGTTGCTTTTCATCTTCTCCTTCATCCTCACCCTGTCATGTTATCAGTCGATTGAACGTTAGCCATTCTTGTGCAGTGGTATCTCATTATAATTTTAATTTTCATTTACGTGTTTCCTAATATCAGTTGAGCATTTTTTCACATACTTACTGGATATTTCTATGTCCTTTTTGGTGGAATGTTTGTTCATGTCTTTTGCCCATTAATTTTTTTCTGTTATTGAGTTTGTATATTCTAAATAGGACTCCTGTATCAAATCTATATTTTATAGACATATAATTCTGCATTCATAAATTTAACCATTCATGGATCAAAAATAGTCAAAAAATGCATCCATACTGAACATGTACAGACTTTTTCTCTTGTCATTATTGCTGAAATAATACAATATAACAACTATTTACAGAGAATTTACATTGTGTTAAGTATTACAAGTAATCTAGAGATGATTTAAAGTATACAGGAGAATGTACACAGATTATATGCATATATTATACCATTTTTTTTTTTTTTTTTTTTTGAGATGGAGTCTTGCTTTGTCGCCCAGGCTGGAGTGCAGTGGCGTGATCTCAGCTCACTGCAAGCTCCGCCTCCCGGGTTCACGCCATTCACCTGCCTCAGCCTCCGAGTAGCTGGGACTACAGGCGCCCGCCACCTTGCCCGGCCAATTTTTTGTATTTTTAGTAGAGACGGGGTTTCACCGTGTTAGCCAGGATGGTCTCGATCTCCCTACCTCGTGATCCGCCTGCCTCGGCCTCCCAAAGTGCTGGGATTACAGGCGTGAGCCACCGCGCCCGGCCTATTATACCATTTTGTATCAGGGACTTGACCATCCTCAAATTTTGGCTTCGTAAGCAGGTCCTGGAACCAGCCCCCACAAATACCAAAGGATAACTGTGTGCATGTATATATATATAATCATATATACATGTATACTCATCCAAGTATTTTTCTCTATGACTTGACTTTTTAAAATAGTATCTTCTGATGAATAGAAGATTTTTATTCAGATGATATATAATTTATTATTTTTTCTTTAATGGTTTGTGACTTCTGCCTTTTTCCAAGAAAACTTTGCTTATCACAAGGTTGTGAAGATTTTCTTCTCTGTTTTCTATTAGAAGATTTATCTTTTTGGCTTTTATTAATATGTTTGGATCTATAATCTATTTCAAATGAATTTTATGTATAGCATGAGGTAAGAATCTAGGCTTCTATGGATATCTATTAGTTCCAGCATCATTTGTTGAATAGACTTTCCTTTCCCTATTGGACTGCTTTGCACTTTCAGTGAAAATGAATTGATCATATAAAGTCTGGGTGCAATGGCTCACGCGTGTAAACCCAGCACTTTGGGAGGCTGAGGTGGGCTGATTGCTTGAACTCAAGAGTGAGAGAACGGCCTGGACAACATGGAGAAACCCCATCTTTACAAAAAATACAAGAATTAGTTGGGCATGGTGGCGTGCACCTGTAGTCTCAGCTGCAGAGGTGGAAGGATCACCTGAACCCATGAGGTCAAGGCTTAGTGAGCCATGATTATGCCACTGAGCTCCAGCCTGTGTGCTGGAGTAAGACCCTGTCTCAGAAACAAATGAACAAACAAAAACCAAAAAACAAAAAGAAACAAACAATTGATCATACAAAAGGACTTATTTCTGGACTGCATTTTGTCCTGTCGATTGATTTGTCTATACCTATGCAAATACCACACTCTCTTCACGATTTAGCACTACAGTAATCTTAAAGTCACATATTGTAAATCCTCTAGTTTTATTCTTTCTGAAGATTCATTTGATTATTCCAGGTTCTTTACATTTTCATAAGAATTGTAGACACAGCATACAAATTTCTATTTTAAAATCCTGGTGGGATTATTATTTCGATGGTATTGAATTAAATTGTGGAGAATTGATATCTTGATAATGTTAAGTCTTCTTACCTATAAAGAGAGCATATTTCCTCATATATTTAGGCCTTTTCAAATTTCTCTCTGGAGATTTGTAGCTTGGAGAAGAGAAGTCTTGCCTATCTTTGGTTAAATTTGTTCCTAATTTTTTTAAGTCTTTGTGACACTATTGTAAATGGAATTTTATATATATTTTTGTTTTGTTTTCTAATTGTTGGCTGATAGTACATAAAATTGTAATTAATAGTTGGATGTTGTTCTTGATGTATCCTGAGATACTGCTAAACTCTCTTAATAGTTACCATAGTTTTTTTGAGGGAGAGAGGAGTTGGTGCCTTATGATTTTCTATATTGCTTATACATAGAAAAGTTTGACTTTTTAATTTCAAATCTTCATGCATTTTATTTATTTTTCTTGCCTTATTAATTTGGTTAGGGCCTCCAGTACAATGTTGAACATAAGTGGTAAGAGTGAGTCACCTTGCTTTGCTCCTAATCTTACAGTAAAATAATTTAATATTTCACTACTAAGTGTGATGCCAGCTCTAGGTTTTCATAGTTGCGTTTTATAAGATTGAAGAATTTTCCTTCTGATACTAGTTTTCCAAGAGTTATTATTATGAATGGGAATAGAATGTTATGCAT